CTTCCAGATCTCAATTTTCCAACCAGGGAGTGAAATAATAACAGTAAATTCATATTGTTCTTAAGAAGCTCAAATGAGACATTGCATGTATGCTTGACCCGACACTTAAACGGGCTTAATGAATTTCATATATAATTACTTAAACTACGAGAATAAAACTACTAATTTTATTGGTAGATTGGTATATCCAGTGTCCAGGGTTTTCTTGAACATGATAAACTCTGCTAGCTAATGAACATAAATGAGAAGGGGAACAAGGGAGGAAGAGGGGGAAAGGAAAGAAGGGACCAAAAAATAGAAACAAAGCTTTTATAAATAAGGAGGGGTAGAAGAATTGAAGGTAGGGGAAGGGAGTGGGGAAAAAAAGCAGGATATATTATGGACAGGTACAAATTCCCTATGATGAATGTTATTATGTATATCTAAAATGTATTAATAAACAAAATTTAAAATAACACATCTTAGTTTGTTTTACTTTCCCTTCCCTTCTCCTCCCTCTTCCTCTTAGCTTATATATTTTAAAATTAGGCCCTCTGAACAGCTCTCCCTCTTAGCTCCCCTCAGAATAAATCCAGAATTTTAAGCTCTATGTTACATGTAATCATGAACCTTCATGCTTCTTCATAGTTGCAAATAGTGGGCAGAGTGAGTTTGTCACCTTTCAGGGCCTGGATTTAAAATATAATATGCCATTGCTAGAGTGTGTCCTAACTTTATTTTTTATTTTTATTTTTTAAAAATTTTTTTGGTACTGGAGATCGAATCCAGGACCTTGCACTTGCAAGACAGGTGGCAGCACCCCTGAGCTAAATCCCTGGCCCTCTAACTTTATCTTTTATCTATCACTGACAGAAACAAAAACCCCTTAGGTTTGATTTCAATTCTTCTTCGATGACACTACTCCTGTATTAACAATCAGAAAGATATTTTAGGGTAATATCCATGCCTTTTATAACCCATCCCATGTAGCACAGTGCCTGGTACTCCTCGAATCATCCATACAAATTGAGCAGCTACTTGGGAGGCCGACGAAGGATTCCAAGGGCGAGGCTGGCCTAGGCAGCTTAGCAAGACCCTGTCTCAAAATAAAACAACAAAAAAAGGCTAGGGATGCAGCTCTGCACTTTCTGGGTACGGTCCTGAGTATCAACATCAAAAAGAAGGAAAAAAGAAAAAAATTCAATAATTATTTGGTGAATTAAATACAATGCTTAATAAGCTAAACGTTATGCATTAGGAATGACAAAGCTTTCTGAATACCTGTAACACTTTCGAGGCTCAATGTTTATAAATTCAATTATAAAGCAAATACTAAATTAATATTATTCCAGACAGGGAAATTAATTTACAGTCCTATATATTAATCAAAAGCTCCTATATGTACCTTCTCCTGCCCACCTTTTGTAATAACACCAAATTAAAACACAAAATGAAGCAATCTTAAAATTGAAAATATAATCTAACTTAAAATTGAAGCTTTTATGAGAGTTTTCCTTTGGGAGAAGCTGTAAAGACTCACTAGAAAAAAACAAAAACAAATCTAAGAAAAGGGATTTGGTGGGATTAATAAATGATGACACAGGCTATTGTTAGGACTGTTTCCCAACAAATCTTTAAGTATCAAGTACTTCTCTAGCTCATTATTAGAATTATAAAGAATCAAAATAAGTGCAAAGTTTTGTTTTGTTTTGTTTTAGGCCCAGTCCAAGGGATTGAACCCAGAGCCTTCACAATGAGCTACAACCCCACCCCATACCCTACCTTTTTTTTTAACTAGGGATCAAACTTGGGACTTTGCTCTTTTGACGCAGAGGGAGGTACCACTGAACTAAATCCCCAGCCCTTTTTTTTTTTTTTTTTTTTTTTTTGAGACAGGATCTCACTAACTAGCAAACTTGCCTAGTCTGGGATAAAGTATTTTTCTTTGAAGTTTTGAAAGGCAACATTAAAAGGCACCAGGATCAACTTTTATCATTTTAAAACTCAAAATACCGTCACAGCTATACCCTTCCATTTAGTAGAAACCCAAATCCCCTGAGCTCCCCATCTCTCTAAAAGGGGTGAAAGGATGACAGATGTGCACTGTATTTAAAGGGTGTCTGTAACACAAGGGCCCACAGTCGCGTTAAACTTTCAAGGCTCGTGTGCAAAGGATTTTTTTACTCCTATTATTCAGGTGTTTTCTACCTACCAATACTTAAAAAGGGTACGTTTAAATATTATTTTTAAACTTTTTCCCACTGTCATCAGACAATGAAAAGTAGCAGACATGTATAAGCCAAATGTTAGAATTAAGAGTTAACTCAGAGAAGAGAGTATCTGAGGACTTTCTAAAGTCATAACTTGAGGAGAATACCTCCTATTTAATGCTTAAAGTTTATTTTGAAATTTAGTACAAGGTATACCCAAGTCCCAAATGAAGGTAAGACAGGCCTCAGGCTCAATCTTGAGAATATCGTGCTGCTCTATTCATCAAAGTGAAAAGTTCTTTGTTTCAAATTTACTTCTGAGAGAACTAGTGAATCCTACACTGGAGACTGAACAAAAAGCACAGCCTCCCTGTTGCCTCAATTAAAATCTAAAACAAACAGGCTGAAGTGGTTATGTATATTCTCATAACTCAACATAATTTTACTTTGGGAAAGTCAAGGACAAACAAGGAAACAAGAGTTTAGCAAACAAAGCAGTGAAATTCCAGCAACTTGAATTATAACATGCTCAGAGTTTCTCCACCTCTGCACTGTCGCCATTCCAGACCAGGTAATTCCTTGTGGGGAAGCTGTTCCATGCCTTGCAGGGAGGTTAACATCGATCTCCCTAGACACCAATAGCAGCCCATGCCTGAGCTGTGACAGTCACAAGTGTTCCAGACAACGCACAGGGTTGGGGACACGGGGAACAGCAAAATTACTCCCGTTCTGAGCCTGGTGAATCACCACTGTACATTAACAGTAAAACAAGACAGTGTTTTGGATTTTTTTCGGCGGAGGGGGGTAACTAAGGAGAACAATGTATTCTGAAAAGTTCGTATTATCATCCGATACACAAGTGAATGAGTAATAAGCCAGATTTCCTCAATATGTATACCAGGGATAAAAACACAAATGGCTTACTTTTACATTTTCTAACCATATTCATAAACCGCATGGCCCTTAAGGCTGCCCAGCAATTCCACTGTATTTCCTCAGGCAATCTACCTTCCTAGTGCCTGTAGACCACAACAGTAAATGCCAACCAAAACCACTTTGTCAAGGTCACTGAAGGTATCTGTGTTGCACAGTCCCACGGTCCATTCCCATGCTCATGTGAAAGGGGTCGAACACCCTCTGGCCATTCACCTCCCCGGAATCACTTTTCTTTACTTGGACTGCAGTGCACTGCGTTTTCCTCCTGCGTCTCTGGCCACACCCTATGTGGCCTTCTTATCTCGTCTCCTTGGTCTGAGAAGGTTGGCTGCCTCAAGCAGGAGTCCATTCTTAGTTTCTGCTTCTTACCTATACTCACTTCCACAACGAAGCCAAGATGGCTTTAAATGCTATCCATACACTGATTAGTCCCAAATGTACATCCCTTCGCCAGCTCCAAGCTCCCTTACCCACTCACGTCTCCAGTGGGACACTTACTGGACTTCTCAAACCTTACAGGTCCTACACTGCTCTCCTGACGACCTCCCCAGAGCCTGCTCCCTGGGAAGTCTTTCTGTCTCTGGAGATGGTAACTCCATCCTTCCAGATGCTCAGCCGTAACTCTGAGGTCACCCTTCTTTCTCACACATCACATCCAATCCACCAGCAAGTCCTGTCAGCTGTCATTACCATTCACTCACCTTCACAGACACATACGACCAGAAACCACATTCTCCACCTGAAAGGTTCCAAGATCTCTGCTCCATCCTTGCTCCCTAGCCCCAGTCTGTTCTCAGAACAGCAGCCAAAAAGAACCACCCAAGGAATCCTTGGTGTTTAAAACACATCAAGTACAAAGAATCACAATTCCAAGCAAAACAATTTTAAGAAATAATCTGAGACTAAATCAAAAAGGGCAAACACATATTCTTGATCAATTTCTATTTCACAGACCTTAAATTTTCCCTCAGAGAAATTAATGGAAGCCTGGTGTCAATGATCACTTTAAAAAAATGTTTAATTGTTTCAGATCACTGCTACATCATTCAGAGTAATGGCCACAGTGTAAGCCATAACTTACTGCTTGGATGTACACAACTTCTAAAGGCTTCGTTTGGTCCTAAAGAATAGTTTAAAAAGTATGAAGAATATGGACAATCAGAACAAGTTCTGCTGTAACATAAAGCTAGAAATCTCTACCCATGATTAATTTGCAACTGGAATGGTAAAAACAAGAATCTCAATTCCAGGCAACTTTCCAGATTACAACTTGCATCTGTCAGGCTGACTTCTATTTTATCAGCGTATACCTACTCATCAGCTGGTAAGGACAGAGTAGTACTATGGGTCTTTCTGACACCAAATTGTGTGGAAATTTTCCACACCAACAACCAATTCTTCAACACCCATTGGCTGTCTAACAATTGAATTCAACTCTGACGTTATCTTCTCGGAGTTAAAATCAGATTTCACAAACTAAAGGGCTCTGTTCCACAGCACTGCCCCCACTGCAGACACCAGCTGCAAAAGGGGTGCCCAGACTGCCCACACGTCTCTCCAGGTGACTAATTTGGGGATTTGTATGACCACCCTCTGTTTAATAATATGCTACCACGGCTCAAAGAAGTGAGGACAACACTCAACTTACGTACCTTTTCACTGAAGAAATTCCAAACAATATAACCTTGTGCCAAGAACCAGGGAACAACTTCCTTCTATCCCCCGACTGCCACTCAGACAGAAGGACAGACAGACAAACAGATATGCACATATATGTGTGTATTTCTTGTAACTACAAGTACCATTCTAGGTGATGGACATGTAAAGATTTATAAAACATATTTCCAACGCTCAAATGATTTAAAATTCAGTTGGGTGCTCACTTCAGCAGCATATATGTACTAAATTAGGCACAATACAGCGAAGGTTAGCATGGCCCCTGCACAAGGATGACAGGCAAATGCGTAAAGCATTCCACATTTTCTTTAAAAAGAGTAACTTCTCACTTTCTTGAGTTACTGGAGAGGGTTACAGAACCTAGGTCTATCTTTTCCAGTCTCTTCTGCCACCATCACCCCTTCATGCGAGATTTTCTCTCTTGTCTTGATTCTTTGAGTTGCACACATCAAAAATTCATTCTCAGGCTGGGGATTTAGCTCAGTGGTTCTGCTGCCTGCCTAGTAAGCACAAGGTCCTGAGTTCAATCCTCGGTACTCAAAAAAAAAAAATCATTCTCCATCGATGGACGTCTAGGCCTACATGTGCATCTGCAGATGAAGGGGTAAACAAAATGCAGTATTTATACATAATGGAGTACTATTCTATGGTAAAGACGGATAAACGTTGAGAGTCATGTGTAGGAAAATGGATGCAACTGAGACCATAATGTAAAGTGAAATAAATCAGAAGTATAAGCTTAAATATTCCATGAATGTTTCTTATATGAGAAACCAAAAATAAAAGCAAAATAAAAGGTAACAGGAAACAGGAAGACAGATCTTTTGCAAAAGGGAAGGTGGCCAAGAAATGGAGGAAGGGAGGAGGGGAAAGAAGGGAAGGAGACATAAAAAAGAATTAAAGAGGGCCAGGGATGTAGCTAAGCCTGCTTTACAAGTGTAAGGTCCTGAGTTTGATCCCCGGTACAAAAAAGAAAATAAAAGAAAGAAAGAATTAAGATATGTTATGTACATGTACCAACTCCCCAGTAAGAATGCAATCACTGGCCTGCCTTGCAAGTGCAACAACCCGAGTTCAATCCCCGGTACCAAAAAAAAAAAAAAGAAAAGAATGCAATCACTATGTGCTGCAAACATGTAGTAAGAAAAATTTTAAAAACAGGAAATTCAGTTAGGTAGGCAGAATAAACTATAAACATGCAATAAGGCATAAAGATGTGTGAAGGAGCAGTACATGGGCTGAGGTAACCAGGATGACTTGAAGGAGATGGGACTTGAGCTGAGTGTTGAACAAAGCCAACTTCGACAAAGACCAGGTAAGGGGCATTCTGAGCCCAAGGAGCAACAAAAGTGCGATTTTCAGAGCATCTGTGTGGAAGTGGAGTCTAAGAACCTCTTTGGACAGAGAATGTAGCGGGCTACATCTTTGGACTCCTGTGAACACCTTTATGCCACAAATCTGTGAACGGCAAAATGTGATAGGTATCATCAAAGGAAGGAGCTTACCTTCGATGATCTGGTTCTGCATTAAATACAATCACATATGTCTTTATGAAAGAAGCATTAAGACAGAGAAAATCAATGTGGCTGTGAAGTTTTGCAGGTCATGGCAAAGAAAATAGTAAAAGTATAGTTAAATGAAAATCAGAAATAATTTCTACCCTTTACTTTAGGAAAGTCTGTGTGGAGTGATTTGACTACACAGAAAAGTAACTAAGTTGTTTCAGTTTCTTTTTTCCTCCAAAGGATG